CCAACGAGAGAGCCTGGACAGTGGACACCCCCCGCAGCACGCCGGGACGAAGCCGAGCAGTCTTGCTCTGCACTCTGCACTGCGCCGCCGCTGGATCTACCCCACCTCGCCGTTCCCGCCGCGGCGGTCAATGGAGTTCCGCTTCCGCGCCGGGGACCGCGGGCCGCCCGGCTCCTCCCCGCCAGCCCCCGGAGGCTCCCCGCCGGCACGGTTCTCCCTCCCCCGCGACGGCTACACCGGTGCCGGTGCGCAAGGCACGCAAGGTAAGCACCGCCGGAACAGAATTCACTCCCCGGAGCGCCCGAATCCCTGACGCCCTCCGCCGCTCCGCGCAGCAGGGCCTTCGCCTTCGCCTTTGCCGCGGCCGCCGCTCGAGTGGGAGGCGGCGCGGCGAGAGCACCTCATCCGCGAGGAGGTGAGGCGGCGGCTCGTCGAGGAGGAGGTGCGCCGCGAGTTCGAGGCCGAGGGCGACCTCGCCTTCGCCCGCGGGGGCTGGGGGCCCGACCCCTTCCTCGCCCCCGGTTGCTTCATGCCGCCGCCGACGATGCCGATGCCGATGCGCCCGCCCCCGTACGCGCCGCCGCCGCCGGTGCCTTTCGACGAGTTTGGTGCCTGGCAGGGGTTTGTGCCTCGCCGGCACGCGGGATTTGGGGAAAGGATGCCGTTCCCCTGCGAGGAGAGGAGGTGGTCTCCGCCGCGTCAGAAGCCGAAGCATAAGCTCCAGCTGCTTGAGATCGAGCCCTCCGGGACACCCGTGGTATGTGGGCACAAATCTTTCTCAGATTCGGCATTTCTGTTATGTCATTTCAGAGTTCTGCACACTGTCTGTACGTTTTACGTTTATTTCACTTGTCCTATTAGATTTAACTTTAGCAGCAAATTCTTGTTCCCTCTGTATCTAAGGGCATGTACAATGGTGGCATATGGATACATATGCCCCATGACAAAAAGTAACTTGAGGCATCTACATTTATTTTTTCTCCCCAATGCAAGCTACCACTAGTGGGCCTCATTAAGAAATAGAAAATAAAGATTCTAGTACACATGCATCTCTACTTTTCACTCCAACCTTTTTAGCTTTTGTCACCGGACCACACCTTTTCTCTTCAAGCACCCGCCTCCTGAAGAGGATCCCGCTTCTCTATCCGAACCTACTTTACGTCATATCCGATCCTACATGGCATGCGAGGCATCACCTTGAGGCTATGCATTGTACATGCCCTAAGTATAAGACGTTTTTTCAGTTCAAATTGAACTGCAAAATGTCTTATATTTAGATACAGAGGAAGTAGAAGATTTCTCATCAAGTAATGCATAAGTCGGCAATTCTTGATATCTAGTGTAGTGTCAAAAACATTCTTATATTTTGGGACAGAGGGAGTATGATTTAGGCAGATGGTGTGAACTTGAGTGGCAAAGAGAGTATTCCTGTTGTAGAAAAGGGTGACAGGTGAACATACTGATTCTTGTCAGCAAGTTATGAAGTTATTTTGGTGGTGATATTGCTTACTGGGTGCATCAAGGCTCAGATCAGAGTCAGAGTTTAAAAGGACGCTGATGATTTCCCATTGATGCTACTTGTCTCCATTTATTCATTTGATTGCTATCAGTATCTGTAGAGAGATACTTTCAGTCATGAGACATAGTTTCAGCTTGCAACCATCTGAATACCTCGTAACATGCTATTATTCTTGAGCTGCAGGATGTTGGTAGATATGCACATCCGTTAACTATTGCATTGAATGTTCATCTCAGGCTCTTTCACCAAAATTGAAGGTTCCAAAGATGAAGAGGAAAGCAGCTGCAAATGCTGCAGCTACTGTACCAAAGAAAGTACAGAAACTAGCCAAGGACTGGAGCTGTGCACTATGCCAGGTTAGTGCAACATGTGAAGCTGGTCTAAATGAGCATCTCGGAGGAAGAAAACATAAGGCCAAGTTGGCACAGTGTGGCGCCAGCAAGGCAATCAAAGATGACAAAAACTGCTTGCAGGCGACCACTGGGAATAAGAACAGCACAGATCCTTGTGATGCACCTAAGAAAGTACACATGCTAGTAGACGGTGAAATGCATGAAGTTGTTCAGAAGAACAACTATCTGTGGTGTGATCGCTGCAGAGTCAGGTGTGATAGCAACGTCATCATGGCTGGTCATCTGCGGAGCAAAAAGCACAGTAAATTAAACAAGGTTTGGACATCGATAAAAGCTGTGAGGACAAATACTGATACTAAGGAAGGTTTGCCTTCTTGTGGAAGTCTGGTAAATACAAACGACTGTACTGAAATTCCAGCGGTAATTGAAGGCGACATAAATATGACCAGTGAAGTAGATGAAAGTAGCCCTGCAGAAAATCCCGCCGGGAAAGAAATCAAAAGCATTGCCACCGAAGTAGAAATTCCAGCGGTAATTGATGGCGGCATAAATATGACCAGTGGTGTAGATGAAAGTAGCCTTGTAGAAAATCCAGCTGGGAAAGAAATCACAAGCATCGCCACCGAAGTAGAAAGTATAACCATGGCTACCGAAGTACATGAAAATAACCCTGTTGAAACTCCAGTTGAAACAAAGAAGGAAAGCACAGACATGACAAATGATGTGTGACAAGTCGAGCCAAAGGAGGAGTAACAGTATACCTGCTCTTTACCCAAGCTTCTCGCTTCTACCCTTTCGTTGGACATGATCTTATCATGGAACATATGCTTAGCTCAGTTTCATCATCAGATGTGGGATTCTCTCTTACCATCCGGCATGTACTCCCTCTGTAAAGAAATATAAGAGCATTTAGATTACTACTTTAGTGATCTAAACGCTCTTATATTTCTTTACGGAGGGAGTAGTTTATAGGGTAACAATAATGCATATGGGCAATGTTTTCTTGTTAAGTTTCTTAGATACTGGTAATCAAGGCAGGAATCTTACAAGTATATGAATCCAGTGCCATACATGGCTTCTAAGGTATCTAACTTGATTACTAGTATCTAAGCAACTTTCCATGAGAAGCATTGCTCCCTGGAGTATGTGTTATTGTTACTCTTTGGACATGTCTTTGACATGGAGATTAAGTTTTTTTATGTAGAATGCCCCACTTTGAACTATACCTTAGCTGCCTCTGTGGTACTTGTATCCAGTTTTCATTGTCGTCCTCTGTTTACATGTAATGTGCTGAGGTGAGATGGGTTGAGCTGGTGACGAGTAGGGTTTCTCTGGGTGCTATCCTGACTCTAGTTTGTATTTTACTTAGGTCTTTTAGGTGTCTGGGCTCAGGTTTACTTTTGCATAGGTCGTGTGAAAATTTGTTCGTTCGAGTAGTTGTAGCATGTACTCACCAATAGCAGTTTTAGAAAGAGTGTACAACCAGCAATATATAGAGATTAGAGGCATATGGGCTATCCAAACATCGGAATGAAGAGAGAAAATGACAGATATGAAATATCAGGTGAACATGTTCCTAAAGTTGTAAAACTAATGTACAAGAGGTGTGGGTTTTGATGATCCTTAGCTTGATTTATTGAGTTCGTGAAGGTTGTGGTCCATACCCATGCCAAAATTCAGTATCAAATAAAATGTTGCTTGTGAGATATTTGGTACTGAAAGTTTGCATTGATGTGGAATATGACCTCCCCGAGCACCATAAATTATTTTGGAGGTGATCTTTGAAACTTCTGCACCGAGAAATCATGGAATTTGCGACTTTAGACCATTTTTGCTGGATATGCTCTCTCGACAGGTTCGTTGACAGCAGCTGAGCGTAGGTGTTGCTGGAAGAACACAATAAATCAGGGGATATCAGAAAACCCAGTGGACGGCACAGCGTGCAGCTTAGAAGCAATACATGATCTGCGGCCCTGCTGTTTATTTCTGTTAGGCAAGAGTTCCGGACTTCCGGTGTCTCAGCAATTGCTCAGCTGTTCTACCTGGTCCAGCTTGAATTCTGGATGTGTACCCCAAATAGGCCAGGTAGAACGTGGAACAGCTGAGACACCAGATGCATGTAGGGTATTCAAGCATTATGATGAAGAGAGAATGTACCTAGCTAGCTTTGGAATAATCTAGACTCGTATCTGCCCTACTAGCTTGTGCTTGCTTTGAATGTACCTAGCTAGACATGCAACATGAACATCGACCGTGCTTAATTTTTTTTTCTCTCGAGAATGCACAGGTGCTAAATTGACTCTAGTTTGGAATTTATTTAGTTCTTTTAGGTGTCAGACTTCAGGTTTACTTCTGCATATGCCGTGCGGAAGTTGTGCTTTCGAGTAGCTGCAGCATGTACCCATGAACTCGCCAATAGCTGTTCCAAAAAGAGTTTACTCACCAGTAATCTGCAGAGGCATATAGAGCATACAAGCATCCCGATGAATAGAAGAAATGGCAGATACGAAATATCAGGTGATAGTGTGCATATAGTTGTAAATTCCATGAGAAATGAAGGTTGTGTTCTATATCCATGTGAGATTTTAGAAACAAATACGATGTTACTTGCGAGATAGGGTTTCCATGGGTGCTAACCTGACCCTAGTCTGAATTTATCTAGTTCTTCTAGGTGTGATGCATCAAGTTTACTTTTGCCTATGTTGTATGGGAACTTGGTAGCAGTTGCTGCATGTACTCACCAGTAATCTGTAGATGCATATAGGGTATCCAAGCATCCTGATGAAGAGAGAACCGACATATTTGAATTACCAGTGAGAACTCTCCTAATAAAAGTTGTAAAATTCTTAAAATGAGACATAGGTTTTCGATGATCCTTGGCTGATTCAGTGTCCGGGCAGGTTGTGAACCATATCAATGCCAAAAGTCTTGTCAAATAAAATGTTACTAGTGAGATATTGGTAGTGAAATTTTTGATGTAGAATATGACTTTCTTAGGTATCATAAATTATTTTAGATGTGATTATTCATGGAATATTGCGACGTTAGATCATTTTTGCTGGACATGCTCTCAACAGTTTCACCACAGGAGCTTAGCTTAAGTGTTACCTATAAATAATCATGGTAGCTAAGAAACCCAGTGAACGCCATGGCAATCTTGCAGCAGCTTCTAAACTAAATTTGCTTTGGAATTTATCTACTACTAACGCCACAGCAGGTTCTAAACCCAGTGAACGCCATGGCAATCTGGAGTAGTTGTTTTAGGTGTCAAGGCTCAGCTTTACTTCTTCATATGTTGTGCTGAAGCTGTTCTTTCTTAGTAGTTGCAGCATGCGCTCACCAATAGCCGTTCCAAAAATAGGTTTTTTTAGAAGAACAGGGAGCCCTCCCCGGTTCCATTATATTAATGAAACCAAATTCAGTTATTACATCAGCTCACTAAAAGGAGCAGTTCAGAAAGAAAACAATGGCTTAAGCCAGTACAGAGTTAACGCAACCGGATCACAGGCACTACGCAGTATCAAATGCAGATCAGCTCCTGGGATGCCTTGCACGCTTTCAGCGGCGGTGCAGTCACCGCTTGAGGGGACCAGGCAGCCACCAGGGTCGAGGTTGGACTCGGCATCGATGTAGCTTCTGAACGCTTCTTGGAGGGGGACGAGAAGCCCACTGCGTCGTCCGAGATCTTCAGCTTGTCCCATGGAGTCACCAACGGTGCTCCAGCGTGCTTCATGATCAGCCACTGATCATCAGTGGTTGTCTCAGATTGGTCGCGAGGTGTGTTGTGAAGGCCTCCAGCCTTTCTGCCGCCCCATCCGAGGACAGGATCACCTAGTTCTTGATAGTTTTTAGAATCAGCCTCATCACCTGCTTAATGGACGTCCATAAGGTGTTATTGAAAATCATAGAGTTCCTATATTTCCAAATACACCAAAGTACAGCAGCGTTAGCTGTGTTGAGGGCGGAGTGTTTTCTGTTAGCAATCCAGAGTCTGGCCACTGATTCGAAATCAGTCCCAGTATCCACCCCGAAATGATTTGAGACCAGAGGCCAGATCTGTCTAGAGACCACACAGTCAAAAACAAATGCGAGCATGTTTCAGCCTCAGAGCAGAACACACACTCAAGTGGCTTAATAATCTGTCTTTTCCTGAGGTTATCCCTGGTCATTAGTTTGTTGTTGGCAAGGAGCCACAGGAAGACATGAACTTTTGGTGGAATTTTTAGCTTCCACACCGAGGGGATGAAGACTGGTTGCACCCCCCTAAAATTAATCACATGGTAGAGTGAGCTAGTGGAGTAAACTCCCCTGTTCTCTAGCTGCCAGACAAGGGCATCAGTTTCATTGGTAAGGGTCAGGCTGCTAGTTATCTCCACTACCTGATACCACTGTTCCATGAGCCTGCCATCAAAATTCCTTCTAAAAGTGAGCTTAAGTTGCATACCATCCCATACTTCCCTGACACTTTTGGTTTGTTCATTACATATAGAGTAGATAGGTCAGAATTGCACTGCTAAGGGGGAGGTACCAAACCAGGTGTCTTCCCAAAACCTAACTTTTTCACCAGACCCAACCTTCCACCTATAACCAAGTTTCAGTGCTTGGATAATGGTTTTTAGCCCCTTCCAGATTCTGGAGGCACTGGGGGATAGGTTAGGAGCAAAAATGTTAATCTTACCAGACATGTACTTGTGCTCAGTGATCATTTTTCATGGTTTTCCTTCACTCTCATAGTATCTCTTCACCCAGGAACCTAGTAAACACAAGTTGACATCTTGGAGGTTTGGGATTCCCAAGCCTCCAAATTCTTTCTTCATACACACCATCTTCCAGTTGGCTAGATGAAGTTTCCTATGGCCTTCAAAATCATTCCACAAACAGTTGACCATTTGAGAGTTGATCATCTCAATGGCCCATTTAGGGAACTTGAAGAAGGATAAAAGATAGATTGGAATACTGGTCAGGCAAGCCTGGATCAGAATGAGTCTACCTTTATAAGAGAGGAGCTTACCTCTCCAACCAGCAATTCTTTTCATAATTTTATCTATGAGAGGTTGGATATCCTCCTTCCTAAGTTTGTCATGGTGCAGAGGGATGCCAAGGTATTTAATAGGGAAGCACCCCCCTTTACAATCCAGGATAGTAAGAAAATGCATGAAATCAGAGTCTTCCATGTTAATTGGGATCAACTCACTCTTAGAGTAGTTGATCCTCATGCCAGAAACCTGCTCAAAACAAGTGAGGATAGTCTTGAGGTCGGAGGCATGGGTAAGGTCATTATCTAAAAAGAGAAGGGTATCGTCAGCATATTGCAGACAAATAATTCCCCCATTGCAGACTTCAGTACATATTCCAGCAATCAAGTTACAACTAGCTGCTCTGGACAACATCTTGGTCAGCACATGTACTACTAAATTGATGAGTAATGGGGAAATAGGATCCCCTTGTCTGAGCCCTTTACCAGCTAAAATGAAATTACCTTCAGTATTGTTAATTTTGACCCCAACCGAGCCATTATGAGTGATCTGCTGAATCCAATTAATCCAAATATCATCAAAGCCTCTTTTTTTGAGGAGGTCCAGGAGGAAACCAAGGTCTACTTTATCAAAGGCTTTTTCATAATCCAGTTTCAAAACCAAACCTTGTTTTTTCCCAGAATGGACTGAGTGCACTACTTCATGGGCAGTGACCACGCTCTCCAGAATGTATCTGCCTTTGAGGAAGGCAGATTGGTTACTGGCAATCAGCCTCTGGAGGATCCTAGTCAGCCTGTTGGTGAGGACCTTAGTAAAAAATTTAAAACCACAGTTAAGCAAGCTGATGGGTCTAAACTTTTTCATGGAAGTTGCATCAGGTTCCTTAGGGACGAGAGTAAGCATGTCAAAGTTAAGTCTATGTATGTCCAACTCTCCCTTATGAAAATCATTAAACAAGGCTATTAGGTCCACCCTAATCAACTCCCAAAAGTGTTGATAGAAGAAGAAAGGAATCCCATCTGGTCCAGGGGCACCATCAGGGTAGGAGTCTGCTTTCTTTATCTCTTCTTCAGTAAAAGGTGATTCTAGGTTCTCATTCTTTGGAGGTGTGACCAATTCCTCTACAAAGAAAAAGTCAGAGCTCAGTGTGAAGTTTACTAGGTTCCAAAAATAGTTTACTAGCCAGTAATCTATAAAGGCATATAGAGTATACAAGCATCCTGATGAAAGCGAAGGAATGACTGATATGAAATGTCAGGCGAAAATGCTCATATAGTTGTAACATTGCATGCAAATGAAGTGAAGGTTTTGACGATTCTCTACTGATTTATCCCGCTCGGGAAGGTTGGGTTGTGTTCTGTATCCATTGTTGTAGAATACTGAAATCTTGCATTGTTGTAGAATACCGTCTTCCCGGGTATCCTAAATGATTTTACAGGTGATCTCTGAAACTTCTGCATCGAGTATTCATGGAATTTTGCTACTTTAGACCATTTTCGGTGGATATGCGTGCAACATATTCGGTTTGTCCAGTGCAGCTTATCTCGGGTGTTGCTGGAAAAACTCAATAAATCATGGTGAAGGCCATGGAAAACTTGCAGCCAAGAAGCAATTCATGATCTGTTATCCTGTTGTTTACTTCTGAAATAGATACAGTGTTATCAGCCTAGGTACTTTCTGAAATAATCTGCACTGATATATGCCCTACTGGCTTGGTTTAGTCAGAAAGTACCCCGGCTAGACAGTATTACATGCAACATGAGCATTACATGCAGAAATTTCAGTTACTATTTCTGCATCTGAATTCTGAAGGTGCGTGACATACAGTAGAACGGCTGTTGAGATTGGCCTGGATCATCAATACATACATGCTGCAGTTTCAGATATACACATGTACTCCCTCCGTCCGAAGAAACTTGACAAACTTTTTCGGACGGAAGGAGTATAAAACTAGTCTTATCAGGGGTAAAACAACTACACGTCCACTCTACTACAAAGTGGAAGGAAGGGCTACAGACAGCAGATTGGAAGAAAGAAAAAGCCCAGATGACGGAGCAGAGCAGGCGAAAGCGATGGATTGAAAAACGGGCTATCTGCGCCGTGGTGACCTGGATCAGCCGGCGAGGCGCTTCTTCTTGGCCTCGGCCTCGTCGGTGGCCTCCACCTGCTCCTTGGCCGCGCGCAGGTCCGCCTCCGCCGCCTCCTGCTCGCTCCTCGCCGTCGCCTTCCGCCACACGCCCACCACGCTGGCCTTCATGTGCTGCCCCCACTCCTGCACGGACGCCCCGAACGACGCCACGCCTCTCACCGCCGCCGCCGGCGTCTCGCCCTCCTTCCTCCCGTCCCCCTCCATGCTCACCGCCCGAGGTTTGCTACCTAGCTTCTTCTGCCTGCGCTGTTACTACGACAAGACGAGAGAAGAGGCAGGAGGACAGGAGAGGAAGAGGCGTGCGTGTACGCTGCACTACATAGTCGCCGGTGCGTATGATGCGCTGTCCCGGTACCAGCATCTGGACGCGCCACGTGGGCTCGGGAATATGCTCTGCTGGCGCCCCCTGGGGCCTCCACGTGGACGGCCGACGCGCGCGTGCTTAGTGGCGAAGCAAAGGAGGGCGGCGGCGCGCGCAGCACCCGTGCGCTGCGCCGCCGCCGCACGATCTGCAACAAGCGGCAATGATTCGGTGATGGGAACGAGGCGGCGTGCACCGCGCGGGCGCAGGCGTGTCGGCCGCCCATCATCCATCGCCGTCCGCGTCAGTTACTACCATTGAGTGAAGCCCACGTAGCTGCTGTTCTGGTTCCCTCACTCGCCTGGATATCAACTTCTCGCCTGACCGGTCGGAGCACCACCGTATATCATCCCGGCGCTACGCGGGCGAGCACACGTTCGTGCTCTCTCGTGTCCATCTTCCGAGCCGGTCCTGGGCACTGACGCGTTCGTTTGTTTCACCCAATCGGCCGGCCGGAGCACCGGCGGTGATGGAAGGGGACAACGGGACCAAGCTGGACGACCTGTGCGAGGAGATCCTCGTCGACAAGATACTCATGCTGCTGCCGCCCAAAGACGTCGGCCGCTGCCGCGCCGTCCGCTCGTCGTGGCGCAGCACCACCTCCATGCCCGAGTTCAAGCTCGATCACCACGGGAGTAAATAGCATAAAACTATTAGTACTTTATGGAGTCCGAGAGAGGGACGCAGACATAGCATAATGGAGGAGATACTGAGCCTCCCGGGTCGCTCTCTCGTGCGACTCCGGAGGTCCCCGCCGCCACTCTCCGGCCGACCTCCACTAGACCACCCCTCCCCTCGCCGTCGCCGGAGGAGGCCGCCGGGCGAAGCCCCGTGGCGGACGGCGGCGGCGAGGCTGCGTGCAGCCTCCTCTCCAGCCTGCTGCGTTCTCTCCTTCTCCCTCAGATCCAAAATCCTCCCCACGCCTCCTGCTTCCATGCTTGCTTGGCTACGGCTGCCGGCCGTCTAAATGCATCGGCTGCCCCTGCTCTAGCCCCATGGCTGCCGGATGTGGCTGCTGGTCCTTGTGGACGGGGTGCTGACCGGTAAAAATTCGAGCTGACGGCTTGTGTGGACGACTGCTCGGCGCGGCGCTGTGGGGGCGCGGCTGAGTGGCCGGCGGTGGCCGCCGTGGTGGGCCTGCGGGTTCGATGGCGGGGGGTTGCGGGCTCGGGCGTGCTGGCGCGGGGCGTCCTCGTCCTGGGTGCGAGCGGCCCTGGGCGTGTGGCGCGGTCGTGGTGGCGCCCGGTGCTGGTGCGGGCGGCCACGGGCGCGCGTCGAGTCAGGGGAGCTGCGGGGCGAGGTGGAACCGGAGCGACCGGCGCGCCAGCTCCAGATCTGGCAGTGGTCGGAGCTTGCCGAGATCCTCGTCCCCGATCTGGCGATCTTCGAGGCGATCGGTCATGGGATGGTGCTCGGCGGCTTGGTTAGCGCTGCCGGCAGTGCTGGTGAATGCGTGGCTTGCTTCTGGCTCGGGGCATGCCGGTCGTGATGGCGGCTGGCCTGGCGGCGATCTCGGGCTGGATCTGAACTGCAGTGGTCCGAATCGGGTCCTGTACGGCGGTGCTCTGGGAGAAATCCCTGCTCACCCATTGTGTGAGCCGACCATGACGGTGCCTCCCCGGCGTCGTATACCTTCCTAGAGGCGTGGTCTTCGAGCTGTTCCGTGTGGATCTGCTTCGGCGTGGTTTAGGCCGTCTTGCTGTAGGGATGTGCTCAAACTCCGGGTGAGAACCTTTCATCGACTATGTCGATGTCGGCGGCAGCGGCGTCTATGGACGTAGTCTTCCTCGCAGGAGGTGCTGCTGTGGAGCTCCAGCACCTATGGTATTTTGCTTTGTGGTCTCCGATGAAAACCCAAGATCGGGCTTGCCGGATCGGATGATGGTGTTGTGTCTTCGACAGCACTACCTCCTTGGAGGCGTCATCTTGGAGGCCCAAACCATGGCCCCTGTTGTTGTTGTGTGGTTGAGGCTGGTGCGTTTGGTACGGTGGTGGTGATGCGGCCAGCTTGGGGCCGACGGTGGTGTGTTTCTTTTTCAGGTGTTTCTCTTGGCTGTTCTTCGCGTGGTCTCCGTCCTGTTGTGTGCATGCTCAAGACCCTCCCATGGTTGCCATTGTGCTACGGTGAGCTTTGGGCTCTTGGTGTTGTCTTGGTTCACCTTTGCTCAATGATGACACAATGATGCCTCCTCAACCTGCTAATCGTTCTGACCGCCCATGGCGGATCTTCCAGTCAAGGTTCGTGTTATGGTTTGGCACTCGTTGATTATGATTGATCCTCTGTTGTGCCACGAGGCTCGGTACGCACGCCGGTGCGGTGCGTTAGGTTGTTTGCAGAGTCTTGGTATTATGATCCCTCGACAGAACCCCACATCTACTTGTGTCTCTCGTGGTGTTGGTCTTTCTTCCTGCTAGCTAGGTCATGCCCTTTCCTGGGTGGCTCTTTTTTCTCATCTTCTATAACCTTGTTTACCTGTATGGTTTTCGGCCCGGTTTCCCTCGTAAACGGGGTCAACTTGTTTAGGCTTTTGATCCGGTTTCCCTTATAAACTGGATCGGCCAAAACTTAAGGGGTGACTCTTGGCTTTGGCAGCTTTTCGAGCAATATATTCAGGTGGGGATCCTCTCCCCCCGGTGACCGTTCAAAAAAAGTTAGTACTTTACGGGCTAGGGTTTAAAAAACTATCGGTTTTTATTTTTTCTCATATAACCATCAAGTGAGCGGTCGGCTATTTCAAAAAACCCTAATCATAGAGTGTTTTAAAATTGGTCGCAATTATGACAGTCAGAACCCGCATGTAAGAAAACCGTTGATCTGACTGTCTGTTTGACTGTTACCTTACATGTGGGGTCCACATGTCAGTGTCCCTTTGTCATATTCTAATATAAAAAATGTGTTCTTTTATACATTTACCGACAACCCCTGTAAGTTTTCTTAAAAAAGCAATCATGTCCCTGAATGTTTTTAGAAAAAACAATCGGGCCCTTGAGGATAACTCGCGTGTGCCCAGAAAAATGGCGCCGGCAGCCAGGTCGCCGACCAGGCGAAAGGAGGCGGCTCGGCCGCTGCGTTCCTCGGCACGAGGCGGGTGACAGACTAGGTGGCGGAGTTCCCTACCGACCGCTGCCGTTGCTCCTAGCCATGGTGCGCGGTGGCCCGTGCTCCTTTGCGCGATGGCCCGAGCCCCTGGCCATGGCGCGACTGGTGGCGGCCCGTCCTCCTTGGCGCGGCTGGCGGTGGCCCTTGCTCCTGGGTGCTGCGGGCGTGCTCCTAGCCATGGCACACGGATGGCAACAGCCCGCGCTCCTGCGATCCCACCATCAACCTTGTCTTAACGCGCGACAGATGGTGGAGGTGGCCGTAGGCAAATGGGGGTAGTCGGGCAGGGGGAGAGGAAGAAGAAAGAGCCAGAGGAGAGAAGAGAAGATAGAGGAAGAAGAGAGAACTTACACATGGGTCCCACATGTAAGATAATGGTCAAACAAACGGATTGTTTAGGGGCGGGCCCGACCTGTCATAAAACAGTTTAAATCGCTAGCAACGAGTGTTTTGGGTATTTTGTAATAGCCGACCGCTCACTTGGTAGTTATCTGAGAAAAATTAAAAACTAGTAGTTTTTTGAAACCATAGCCTTTAAAGTAGTAGTTTTATGCTATTTACTCTCACCACCGCCTCCAGGCGTCGCTGCCTATCATCGAGGAAGAAGGAGGCCACCTCGGCAGCCTCCATGGCTCCGGCGACAGCATGGCCTGTCAACAGCTCTGGACCTTGCTCTAGTGGGTCGATGTCCACGCTGCCAACCATGGCTTCCTCATTGTCTCCCACTGTCAGCTGGGGTCAAGGTTCTATATATGCAACCCGGCTACCCGCCAGATTGCTCCTCTGCCGCAGCCTCAAGTCCGGCTAAACAACGCCATACTTGGCCTTTACCGGCACGATGCAACCGGGGAATACAGGGTGCTCTGGTCCTCATGGTGCTTGAGGAATGAAATCACTCTACATGTCCTCACAGTGGGAGACACTGACTCCAGACCATATGTAGTCACGATAGCCGCTTGAAATATATGGATGTCATGGAGGACTATGAGGCGGAAATATGGGACCTGAAGTACCGGACTGACGTGTCATCAATACAGGCATCACCACCACTTAATTTAGCTTCCCTCAAGAAGGAAAATAAAAGGAAAAAGAATATGGGAACCTATGTTGCTCCTACCATGAGATTTCTCAGTGGGCTGGTTATGGTCAACCAGCTTGAGTTAATGGCCAGGTTTAGTGATAAACATCTCTTGCGTTGCAAAATGATCGCAAGTGGTTAGGAATGGCAAACATTAAGGGACAATATCATACGGAGCTTACTCCGCATCGTTTCAAACAGAGCATTTTACCAATACTGATGAGTTGAGATGCAAGAAGATAATAACTATGTGAGTCATGCTACTGCTACAACAACATTAGAGTATCACCGGGTCTTTATGCTTGTTTTTCTTCGTGTCCAACATGAATCTGCTTTCTTTGGTCCAGTTAAATACTTTAGCTCTATGAAGTGTGGCCAATTTAAGACCAACCGATATATTTTCATGTGGTAACGTCTGAGATCGCATGGAAAATCCTACCATTTTAGTGATGATGGCGTGGGCAAGGATTTAGGATTTGCCTAATCTTTTTCATGTGGTTCACACAGTAAATGCAGAAACTTTCCCTTATTATTCTTTGTGCATTTTCAGTATTATAATTGGAGTTAACTCATAATACATTTAAAACATATAAAATCAGTGTCACCTTTTAGTGAGACAAAAATTAAGATTCTCCAATAACTTGGAATGTAAACAAACAACATCA